TAATGGATATTAATAAAATCAAAGAAATGAAAATATGACTCTCCGTGACTCGCACGCACCAAACAGGCGAATCGGGAAGTTATTGCCTTTTTTTTTTTAAATTAAAGAACGGAATCGTTAATTCTGTACCAACCAAAATTAGGTGTTCAATGGGGCGTGCCTACCACGCACTCCTACTTTCTGGTTGAGATTAGGATAAAAAAAATTAAAATTAAAACTTAAAACCCACTTCAGAAAAGGAAAAAAAAAAAAAAAGAGAAAAAAATATAAACGCCCAAATACTTTTCCTCCCACAATCACAAACCCTAACATTTGATTTGTTCATTCCTCACAAAATTCACAAACTCAAAAGCCAGAATTTTTAGATCCAAAGCAAGTTTCTTTGTCACAGCGAAGGTCAGTTATATCTATTCTTTTTTTCTTTTCTTTTTTTAATTTTATTGTGTTGATTGTTGCACTTTCACTACTAATTTCTGAAATCTTTTATTTATTTGTTTATTTATTTTATATATATTTAGATGAAGATTGATGCTAATTTTCTGATTTTTTGGTGAATTTTGGGAGTTTTATGGATTGCTTTGAAGATTCCTGACCAATGTTGACTTCTTGTATTTAACTAAATATACCTTTTAACTCATTTTATTGCCTATTTAGTGATTTTTTTTTTATTTGTTATACTGTAATTTTTTCCCCCTTTTTTGGATTAAAATTCATATGATGAGAATGAGATTGTTTGATGTCAGAGGAAGTTTTTTCTCTGTTGATTTTTCTGAGGATAATTTTGAAATCTTGAACTGATCAGTTTCAGTATGCATTTAAAATACATTTGATTCAACTGTTATAATTGATATTTTTAGCTCTAAATCGTTGATGGCTGTTTAAATAACTTGATTTCGGCAATCTATTGACTTGATCCTTGTTTCTTCAGTCTTTTCTTTTGTTTGGCCTGTATTTGGTGGATAATATCACCTTGGTGTCTGAATGTAAAGTTTTCAATGCTTGAAAGTTGCAGGTTTCCTGACTTGGTTCAAGAATCGTCATCATGAGATTCAAAAAGGGATGTAAAGTTGAGGTATTTGACAAAAAGGAGGTGCCTTATGGTGCGTGGCGGCGTGCTAAGATTATGTCAGGCAATGGGCACACTTATAATGTTAGCTCAGAATGCCCTCCTGGCATTCAAAATGTGACAAATCTCAGGAGAGTGCCGAGGAAAGCTATTAGACCTTGCCCCCCAGCTGTGGATAATCGTATTGAAAATTGGACTGCTGGGGATGTGGTGGAGGTTTTTGATGATTTTTCCTGGAAAATTGCAAAAGTTCTCAAGGTTGTCGTTGACAAATACTATTTGGTTAGGATACTTGGGTCCTCCAGGGAAGTCCAGGTCCGAAAGTCTAATATCAGGCTGCGCCAAGCTTGGCAAGACAATGAATGGATTGTCATTGGAAGGGTAAACTCCCTCTTTTTGGTATTCACTCCTTTTTCTTTATATTTTTCTGAACAGATTTCAGCTTGTAATCGATTTTGTTATTATTTGGACTTCAAGTTTCTTGTTCTGTGATTCATCTGCAATTTTTTTTTTTTCCTTTTAAGATATAATCTAGATGCTTGATTTGATGACCCTGGTTTCTAAATGTGTCAACATTTTTTATGATTCTAGATTGAGGAGTTTCTGAGATTATACAGGTTTCTTGTCTTTTTTTCCCCTAATCATTTATCCCTCGTTACTACCTTGCACCTAAGAAGATTTGATGCATAATTGCATTATCTAACTCTATTATTCTTTTCAGGGCTATAGTGGTGATGTTCTGAAGTTTAATAAAATGGCTACATCGACTTGTTCTCGGAAAGTTGGCTTTCCATTGCCACGAGCTGATAGAAAGTTAGAAATGCATTCTCCAAACAGCATTTTGGAAATTCAGCACGATTCTACTTTTCCGGAATCTCATTTAATTGCAGGTGGAATGTTGAAGAGAGCTTTGCCATTTTTATCATCCAATGTCCAAGCACACCATGGTTATGCAAGGAAAAGGAGAGCAGTTGAGAGAGAGGGTCAGCACAAACAAGTGATTTCAGGGTACCAATGCTCACTCAATAAGGTAGATGTTGTTCCTTACCTGCATGAAAGTGTAGGTGAGACATACATACATTCTTCCCATAAAAATCAAACAAATGACCTTGGGAAGGGAAATCCAAATTATGTTGTTGAGCATCTTGAAAGAATCTCAGAATCTAATGATTCTGAAATTGATGCATGCTCTGTTGGTAGTTGTTGTGTTAGTAGTAACAGACAAAATATGTTGTCATGTACCCTTAGTACAAGTAGTGATGCTGAATCTTTTAATGTTTGTGGAAATGAAGAAGGCAAATGCCCCCTTCCCTTAGGAGAGGAACTAGCTGCTAGAATCCATAGGTTAGAGTTGCATGCATACCGCAGCACTCTAGAGGCTTTATATGCTTCTGGACCCTTAAGCTGGGAACAAGAAGCATTGTTGACAAATCTCCGTCTTTCACTTAACATTTCTAATGATGAACACTCATTGGAGCTAAAGAACTTAGTATCTGCTGGAACAAGGAGGACAGGATCTTTACCTGGCTTACTAGCTGTACAACATAGTAAGGACACTTGTTGTAATCTAGAAATTGTACACCAAAACTGTTACTGTTAATGAAACTGGGAATTCCAAGCTTTTGAGTCTTGATGGTGTTTATATATAATTTTAAATTGTTTTTATGTTTCAAATCTTCTTCATGAACTTATTGTACCATTTCTGAATTAAACGTGTAACTGGTGGATTTTCTTGTACCTTTTGAAATCATTGGAGATTTGATTGTAGAAGATGCTATTGATGTATCTCCTGCATTTTCTAGGGCCAGTGTTGGAGGCATGCAAACCTTGCTTCCAAATGTCCAAAGATGATGTCGTGGTTCAAAACTTCTCCATTCACATAAGGGGAGAGGCATTATAAGAATTAAGGACTGCACATCTTATGCCGAATGTGAAACAATGTGAAAGCTTTGATGGATCTCGTGTTGGTGATCCGGAAGGTCCATTTTCGAACCTTTAGATTACATAAAGCTCTCTCCACTGGATTTCCATTTTGGCAATCAAGAATTTGGACTTTTCCCTTTTCCAACATTGCTCACCCTTTGTGACCTGAGCCAGAGCAGAGGCAATGCATGGAACTTGCTGTGCTGTGATTGAAGATTACTGCTACCATCATTGCTTTTCTGTCTGATGTAATGAAATAAGAGAAAGCAAGCATTCTACATCAACAATTGTCAACAACCTAAGTTTGGTTTGGCAATTTGTATATATGTATATATATATTATGTAGATGCTGTTTGTAAAATTTAGGTTAAAACCCTTTTTTGGTCCTTGAACTATTGTACGGACCTTTGATTTGGTCCCTACTGTTTACCATTTTAAAATCGATTTGGTCCTTTCGTCAAATATCAACCTACGTGTCCCGTTACTTGACAGGAAAATGATGACATGTACAAGGATTTTGACACTTAAGATGTACAGCGTGATAAAAAAATGAGATGACAGGAAAAAAATCTTAAAAAATTTCTTATTCCTTTTTTTTTTCTTCGTTTGTTTTTCCTTTTTCCCTTTCTTCTTCCTCTCCCTTTCCTTTAACCTTTTGTAAACCCTAACTCTTAATATTAAATTCGAGGATAACACAACAAATCAACATATTAAACTCAATAGATACTTGACCCAACGGGTGCTGGGTTCAAAACGAAACCCAGAGCCTCACTTGCAGGAACTCAGCGACTGCTCAAACCTAACAACCGCTAGGTTCCACTGACCCAGCAGTTGTTGGGTTTGAAATGAAACCCACCATCAGCTAGGTTCGATTTTGAACCCAGCACCTGCAAAAACCTAGCGGCTGGTAGGTTCAAAATTGAAAAATCGAACCCAACGTCGAACCCAGCACCTGTAGTAACCCAGCAACTGCCTTGCCTTGCCTTCTTCATCTTCATCAATCAATTTTTCATCACAATCAAACAACAAAATCCAAAAAACAAAAAGTTTTTTAATTTTTTGCACCTGGATTCGCAAGGAACCCAAGCGTGCTGGGTTTGTAGGAACCCAGACGCGAATCCAGGACGCTTGGGTTCCTTGTGAACCCAAGCGCTGGGTTCGCAAGAAGCTGAACCCAAGCGTGTTGGGTTCCACTGAACCCAGGCATGCTGGGTTCGGTGTGAACCCAGGCAAGTGTGCTGCTTGTTGGGTTTGTAGGAACCCAGACGCGAACCCAGCACCTGGGTGGGTTCGAAGGAACCCAGGCCTGCTGGGTTCCAAGGGGAAAGAGAAGGGAAAGGGGAAGGAGATAGAGAAAGGGAAAGGAGAAGGAGAAAGAAAAAAGAAAAAAGAAAACAAATTTTAAGTTTTATTTTTCATAATATTTTTTTAT